TTGGTGTTGTAGTGACAGACATAATTGGTGACCTAGCTGGCAATCTAACTCCTAACTTCTTATAAGAAAGGAAGTTATTATTAGACCTTTAACTCTTTCCCCCATAAAGATGACATTTCACAGTCTCCCCTGTACTCTTAATGGAGAATTTTTACACATCAGTGTATATCAGTAAAGATGTGGTTTGACAACCTTAGAATAGTTTCTGGGGCTTTTTTGTAGTGTAGTTGTGTAGCCAGAGGCCACCCTCACTAACTTCTAATGCACAGGCTTGAAATACAACTTAAATACTACTAGTAAACTTTCAAGGAGTAGAGAGAGTTAAAACTAGCATAACCAGTTCTTTAACTGATCATACTTATCTCCCTAAGGTTAAAGTCAGAGCATCAAATACCATTTTGTTTGAGCTGGTCCACTAAGATTTGTAAGCATCTTTCCGGATCTGAATTAAGAGAAAGTTAATGAACAAAACTAATAGTTACTCACACATCCTACGACAAAAGAAATTAGTTGGAGCTGGATCGGGTGACCCTAAAATCCTTTATTAATTACACTGCAGTAGGAGTAATGTTGCCTTTTTTCAATGACTATGTGTTTATACAGCATTATTCCATAATAAAAATTAGCTATAATTGATCTCTGGCTCTCTTCCACAGTGTTTTGTTTGTCCTGTCTTCCTCCCCACACTCCCTGCCCCTCCCCAAGCTTGTTTCTGCCAGAGGTTTCTTCCTCTTAAAAGGGTGTTTTTCCTTCCCACTGTTGCCAAGTGCTAGCTCATAGGGCTTTGCTTGATTTGAGGGAGTTTTGCACCCTTAGTGTTTTTACCTTACAAAATAAAACACCTAGAGATCACTGTTTTTGTGATTTTGAGCATATATGTAAAAACACCGAGTTGAATTGAATAATAAAATCAAAAGCCACCTAGAGGGCCACTAAATATGAAAAGTGCAACACACATAGCACCGCAACATCTTCAAAAATACTCATGCAAAACACGAGTCCAGTAACACTATGAACCTGTTCCAAGCCCCACTTTAGCTACCTTATAAGCATCCTTCAGTTTTTCACTTGTTTAATGAGCAGGTGGTGTCCTGTTGGGTAGCACTGTTGGAAGTAAAACAGAACAGAAACACATTTAAAGTCTGCAGCGCTGTGCATGTGCCAAAGTAAAATGAGAGAGGGGAGAAACAGATTGCTGAGAGGGAGCCAGTCAGAGGGAGAGCGGGACTAATGAAGGTTACAGAAGAGGAGAAGTATGAAATAGGAAGGAGAAGAAATGAGTCTGGAATGATAAAAGGAGGAGAGACAGTGGGATTGTTGAGGAGTCTCTCTGGATTTGCAGAATCCCCTCAGCCTCAAGTTTTGGTACAAAGTCATACTGACACACTTACTGCCTGGTGAGCCCTCTATCTTTCTCTTCCTCCACTTTCTTTCACACTGGTAATGAGGACTGTAGGTGTCCGCCGACTGTCACATGCACACCACCGAGCGTTTAACAGTAAGGGGGGGGGGGGGGCTTATATTACTCTTGGACATCTGCCATGGTGCCAGGACCTAGGCAATAGTGTGATGCTGAAATAGGAGGGAAGCATGGGGGTTTCTTTTTGTGTTAGTTCCAGCCAATCCCCATGCAAATTGCGTGATTTATATTACATTTGCTCTAAATTTAAAAAATGCCTTATTTATCTGTTCTGTGGGCTTATTCTCTTTTATTTTACTTTTGGTGCCATTCGAAAGCTAATTCATAGCAATGCCAACCTTTTGAAAAGTGAAAGTGGTGCAGTCCTAGACTGCAAATCGAAAAAAAAGGGTTGGGAGACATGCATTTTTGTTCTCTTGCTGACATTTGGATGAATGCATCTGTGTCATATAAAACAGTAATAATCAGTGAGTTGCATTTGCTCTTATGCCAAACAGAATGATGTCATGTCTATAATGTAGACGTATAAAGATAGATATAGCTTTTGGGCCTAAAAGTGAAGGAAAGGTGGTCTAAACCAGGCTTGGTTAAATCATCGGCGTATGGTCACCATAGCCCTTCATCATTTATGTTGGTACTTGATGGCACACCAGACTTACTGCAGTCATCTTATGAACAATAGGTGTCGCCACTCAGAAAAAAGCCCTCCATATCAGGATTAATACTGCAGGAGAAGAATTTGAAACAGGAAGAAAAGAAATTGTGGAGTTTTCCTTTTTGAAATTTCTTCTGAAAAGAAATTTAAAGATCGTGAGGTGTACAACAAGCCTACATCGGGCTTTAAACCTGATAGTTTTTTAATGGCCAGACATGGTTACCTTCTGACTGCAAAGAGGAGTAACTTTCTGTACCTCATACTAAACTTCAACTTCAGGGCTTTTTGTGGCTTCAAGGATTTTTGGTTTTTAAAACTTCTATATCATCAGTGTGATTTTTTTTCCTTCTTCAACCCCCAGAAATCTTTTGGCAATTATTTCATCACTCGGGCATTAAAGGGTTAAATGGTTCTCCATAAACCATGATGTCACGATGTTGATGTCCATCTTTTATTGGCAATTTACTGTTCTTACAGGTTTTTAAGACCGCAGCTATTTTGCTAGCAGCAAAGAGCAGTGGAAGCACATGGAAACAAATAATATTGCTCTTATTTGTTGTGTACATGAATTTAGAGTTTTAGAGATGATGGTGTTATCTGTGCATGGAATCAGACTCCAGCTAGATTTTTTATGAAAGCATTATGCTACGTCCACGCTCATCCTGCGTTGCCTTGAAAGGAGTTGCTTGTGGACATTTCAGTATCTGGTTGCCTAAGTATCCATCTATCCTTCCAGGTCTGTCGCAGGGCTAACCTGGGTAACTCTGTAACATATGTACTATCAGGTCACATGTCAATCAGCGGTATCCTGCACTCTCATTGGTAGTTGCTTTAGTCCCACCAATTGCAATTTAATCCCTAGTCACCTGATTTACTTTATATCAGGGGTCCCCAACATTTTTGCGCCATGGACCGGTTTATGTCCGACAATATTTTCACAGACCAGCCTTTAAGGTGATAAATATAACAAAATAAAACCAGTACAAAAACCAGTATAAAAAAAAAAGAAGATTTATTCATAACACACGGGAAAAGACCCAGGGAAACCAAGTTAACGCTAAAAATTATTTTAAAAAATAATGCTAAAAACCAATAAAAACCCTGAAAACCATGAATTTCACACCTGAGCCTCAACTCTCACGGACCGGTACCAAACAACTCGGGGGTTTGGGACCGCTGCTTTATATGGGCTCCGCTCACCACATTGCTTGGCAACTTTAGAGTGACATCAATCCTCTAATCTAAAATAATAAACACATTTAAGACAGCAACTGGGTATGATTTAAATGCTTGTATACTCATAATCTTATAATTTTGCTGACTACATCCTGACTGCACTGACGACATTCAGTGTTCCAACATATCACAGCTACGCCTTTTGTTTTGGCAAGTATGTGCAAGTCCATTAACAGTTTCCTACAAAAGCAGCCGCAACCTCCTAGAGTTTCTCTTAAATTGACGTGACCAATTTTCTTGCACTCCACCCAGGCAGACAACGCAAACATCCACCGCCTCATTAAAAGCATGGGGGCATTTAGTTTGAAAGCATAACGAGCTTGAGATTGCAGCGCTGTGAATAAGGCTCATAAAAGCAGCATCATGCGGTGGTGGAAAGTTACGTTAATGACAGTATATTTGTTCCATTTTAGAGAGGTCATAACAAAGACGCCTACGGCTGCCTTGTCGTCATTAAACATCATTAACATCAACTAAGTGACAACAAGCTGACATTTAAAGTATGAACCCCACATGTGTATATATATATATAGATATAGATATAGATATATATATATATATTTTTTCAGACTGACACTTTGGATGATAGTATATGATTACAGTATATTTTACATAGCAAAAGGAACTGGCGTGCAACAACACTGCTCGGTCTCATCATGCTGTATCTAGTTTCGCTGCTGTCTGTAACAGTATAAGATACTAAATGATGAATGAATTTTGGCCCGATGTTTGCCAGCACTGTTCCCGACAAAAGAGATGATCCAGAACATGTGTTTCCTCCCAGTGATGTAAAGTGTGCAACTGAAAATTACAAGGTTATCCAACCTTCACTTGCTGTTTAAAGTTGTCTTAAACACCTGAAACCTGCTGAAATGAGTCAAAGAAAATATTTATTTTTGGCTATATGTTTTTCCTCAGCAGATTCACCCCACCAGCCAAGCACTGTACAATATAACAAGTTACTCATTCACCACATTTTACAGTAATGCAGGGTTTCCGTCATCATTAGTATCTAAAATTTCTTAATCATGTGTTTTATTTCTCACTCTATATTTTAGGACTTTCACTTGAGCATTAAATTGGAACAATTCCTTTTTTTTTAACATGACAGCAGGAAAAAATCCCATCATATGTTAGGTCACAGAAGTCCATTTCTGACAAACAACACAAAGGAAAACAGCAGAACACATTTGCTGGCTGTGCTTTGAACTGTATTGCTTCTAGACAGTCACAGTCAGAGGAGATGTGATGAATTCCCCCGGAGCCAGCTCGGGAAGAAGAGCTGAACTTGTTCTCACATCTCCTGCTACTGAGGAGAAATAACTAGCTTCACTCACTTTGATGGAGTAAAGAAATACACACACAGACACAGACACACACACATATACCCACTGGCTCTTTGCCTGTTTGCTTGAAAGAAACTCATTTTTGTGCATCTCTCTCATGCACCCTGTCTTTTTTCTTCTCCTCCGGGTTTCCCACTCAACCCGGCTTCTTTCCTATACCCCCCTTCTTAGATTTGCTCACAATTTTCTGAGTTTATCCTCGTTGTTGAGGTTTTTTTTGTTTCACCCTGACCCCGATCCCTTTAAAACACCATCATTAACAATGTCACCTTTGCTTGTCATTAACTTTATGGCAATGATTATTCCGCTGCCGCCAGCGCACTCTCCTTCAAGTCTCACTTACCTGTGCGATCTCGTAGAGCAGTTTGTAGTGTTCCTCCCGTTTCTGCAAGGTGCACAAATTGCAGCCCATTCTAGTTGTCAGGGAAACAGTGCCGAGTGCCCGCTGGAGTGTGTGCTGTCTGCGGTGTGTATGAACTCCCCCTTGGGCGATACACACTCGGGCTCCTCTTCCTTGGCTCCCCCACACCTCTTTCTCATCCGTGTATCCTCAGAGATCCCCTCTGTCGCTCTGAGCGCACCACACACGTGTTTCAATTCACTCTTTCAACGCAGGCTCTGGAAGTACTACCTTCAGTTTGTGAAGTGAGTGTGTGTTTGTAAGTGTTTTTGTGTTGTGTGAATCAGTAATTAGATGAGTGAAACGCACCTGGCTTTCTTCCCCTCTTTGCCTGTCACTCCTTCCCTGGAGTCTCACTTGCATGCCTACATACACTCTCTCCCTCCACTCTCTATACTCCACCACCTCCTCTCTCAGTGTGAGCACACTCTTGTGCATACACACACTTTTGGCTCATGGAGTCACACCTCCTCCTGTGGCAGGCTGCCTACACATGGCTGCTCCTACTCCACCTCATGAATAGATGGCATCCTCATTGGCTGTTTAAGGAGAAGGGGGCTGGGAGAAAAAGAGAGGAGGGGACTGCTCTTATCTTGGGAAGAGTCAGATTCTGAACATCAGTGCTGTTGCGTGTAAGCAAAGGAAAGGACAGGCTGCATGCATGCGTGCGTGTGTGTGTGTAGTAAAGGTGGGCAGACAGATCCCAATATCCATAGTATTGATACTTGCATGATTGGATCGATTATCTATGCTCTAAGTTAGATATGTACTCCAGTAAATTGGGTTAAATTACTTTAAATAACAGAAGGTGACCCAAACTGCTTTAGAGACATATACATTTACAACTCCCCTCCCTCTTATTTACATGTTAAAAAGTATCAGTATCAGTATTGGTATCAGTAATATTGGCCCTGCATTTATTTGGTATCGGACCAATATCAAAATTTGCAGTATTGCACAGCGCTAGTGTGCAGACTGCACTAACATCTGTGTTTGTATGCCGTAAAGTACATTTGTTAGTTTTCTGTGTGTAAATACTCAACCAAACATTCAATCTATAATTAAAAAAAACCCTCAGACATCAGTTAAAATGCCATGAAGGCAGTTAATCAAGTTCCTAAGAGGGCTTTTTGTCAGTCCACACATTTAACAACTGGATTTGGCATTGAAATCAATCTAATTTGGATTCAATCAGATAGTCTTTTGCACTTAGCACAATGGTTGGAGGAGTGGTGTTTAGCGGCTGCCATAGATTTACAGTCAGAGGGCGTTAGTCACAAAACAGATGCTCCCCTCCTCTCTCCCTCTCTCTCTGCCGGCAGTTAGACAAGGGCACTGGACTGGGTTGATACACAGGAAGAAACACAGACTAGTATTGATTGGCTTCAAATTAGCTTCCAGCCCAACTGATCCATCTCTACAGGGGTGAGGAAACAAAAAGGAGAGAGAATGGATGAGAGGAAAGAGGAAGAAAAACGGAGGATGGAAAACTCAGAGATGCTGCTAAGATAAACTGAGAGTCCAGCAATGGCATTACGAGCCTCTACTAGCAATTTTGTTTATACAGTAGCAAGTATGCCCTATATATAATATATATATATATATATTATATATATATATATATATATATATTATATATATATATATATCAGAGCATCTTGCAAATATCAGCCAAATTTCCCCCTCCATGCTACACTTGGCACATTCCCTTGGGACTTTGACCATAAAACAGGTAAAAAGAAAAGGGGGGGCCTGAAATGGTTTGGCAGTTCCTGGGTCCAAACCAGATGGGATGCCAAGTGCAGGTTGGATTGCTATGAGCTATCACACTCACAGTGCCATTACCAACATGCTGGTGTTTAGCAGATAAAATACTCACTGTGGTCACCCTTTTATTTTAGTGTAATTTGATGTGCGATATTTTAAAACGCAGTGAACGCAGAAAAGTATAGTGAACACTGAGTGAACAGCAGGACTTGTCCTCTGAGGACGTTTCATGTCTATATCATATTTAGCAGCTAAGTGACTTAGTTAGTAAGATATTTACAGGACTGTGCAAACGTCTTGAGGTTCTTTATATTTATAAAAGACTGAGTTTAAATAATTCTAACAAGTTTGAAAGTCAGTATTTGGAATGACTACCTTTATTCTGCAAAAGCCTGAATTCTCTTAGTCAAGCTTTCATGTAATTTCTTCAAGTAGTCTTCAGAAATAGTTCTCCAGCCTTCTTGAAAGACAATGAATGTCTTTGGATGTTGGATTCTTTGGATGTTGGCTGCCTTTTGTTCCCTTCTCGGTCAAGATGATCCCACACTGCTTCAGTAATGTTGAGTACCGAGCTCTGGGGAAGCCAATCCATGACTGACTTGTTTTTCTATCGAGGTTTGGTTTTACTGTGTTGGGAGTGTGTGGGGTGATTGTCATGCTGAAAACTGAAGCCATTCCCAATCATGACATTTTCCAGATAGTCCTGCAGATAGAAATCTGGTGGTACTGTTCTATGTTCTTAATCTCAACACCACTGGCTAAAATGCAGCCCACAACCATGACACAGCCTACAGAGTGTTTTGCAGATGGCTATAGGCTCACTGTTGTACCTCTCTCCTGACCTTCTCCAGACATATTACAATATTTGACCAAAAAGTTTCAATCTGGATTCATCACTGTATAAGACTTATTGCCACTGCAATTTTTTCTCCTTGCTTCACTTCCTTAAGGAAGACTACCGAACTTCTTCTGAGACCATATCTGATGAGGCTTCAGTGAAGATGGCTCAAACAGAGGGGCAGATAGATTGCTTGGGTCCTGTGTCAAGTCTTTGCCAGATCTATTCCTATTTCTTAAAGATATGGCTTTAGGTCTGCTGCTTCTTTTGTCCTCCGTTTGCTTAGTTCCTTGAATTCTTAAGAACACAATACATGCCCTGCTCAGTGTTTTGGGCTAAAATCTCTTTGAAAACCACCTTGTTTGTGAAAAAACACCACTTTATGCCAATGCCAATCTGTGTTATATTTTAATATAGATTGATCACAACATTTGTTTATCCTTTGCAGAACAACTTTTTTTTTATTTTTGAATGATTCATAGGTCAGAGTTAAGTGGCTTAAAAAATCGTCTGAAAATGATTAAACTCAAGGACTGGACTGCAAATAAGGGGAAAAGAAGCTAATGTTTAAAGAAAAGCATTGAAAGGCATTCAGAAAGCTTCAAACTACTGTTCCAGACCAATTTAAAAAAGACAAGAAAGTCTGGCTTCTTACAAGCTGAATATTTTAGTGACTTCCGTGCAGCACTGTAAGTCAGGACCAAAATATGGACAGAACAGTCAACAAGAGGATGCTCAGTGTGAGCCTGAGCCACTAGCATAATAAAAAATATGTAATTTCTTTTTGAATGAATACATGTATAGACACGTTTCTTTCACGTCAGCTCAACACAAATTTAAAAAAATAACATTTTTTCAAGTAAACTGGAACACTATAACATATTCTTCATTGATCATTTGTAAGGATTTGCAAGAAAACCCTTTGTCTCTAAGCAAACATGGTATGCAGTTTATTTCCTCTGCAACAGACAGTTTATACTGCCACATAATCTACTGCAGTGGCTGTGTCATGGAAAAACAAGAACTTCTAGTCAAGAAGCAGATATAGCATGCCTGCATGACGAATAGCTGTCACCGCTAAGACTATGAGCAGAGAGCGCAGATGTGTCATAGTCCTTATCACTAGTCATGCAGGTACAGGGACCATACTTGTTCAGTCAAGGGTGTCAGAGCAAATCCAGATACAGCCCCCCAGATAACACTTAACCCTTTCCCTCCGACCACTTTTGTCCCATTTTGATGAGGTCATTGTGTTTCCTGTTAATCTCTGAAGGTGACTTTTCAGGATGATATCACCAAATAATGAACTTTCAGATTTTCTTTTAGCTTTTTTACTTTTTTCAAGTGCCTCGAAATCTCTTTTAGTGCTGACGTTTGCAGTCTAACCAAAGGATTACCAATATTACCAGACTCTGGTTAAACTGCCACTGTGGTTCATCCATAATCTGAGATTTGCTGACAAACACATAAATGACTAGGGAGCTAAACGTGCCTCCAGCATTGAAGGCCTCTAATGGCACTCTAAAACGTTTCCCAGAAACTACATCAGTTGTATCTAAAGCGCGATCAGGCAGACCAAAAGTGACCACACCATCAGACGATCAATACATCAGGCTTGGGTCACATGAGAAAAGCTACTTCATTACAGATTTTTCTAAATAAAGAATGTAACACGCCATTACTGTCTTAGGCTGTCTAGTAGTGGTCTCAGGGGACAAGTTGTTGGAGTGGACTGGACATATCAGTATTCTGACTGTATATAAGGAGACGAACGAGCAGATGAGATTGTAATGTATCAAGCCAGCAGTAGAGCAAGTCATTGCCACTATGGAGTTGGACACTCTGGTAAATCAGCATCGGTGTCCAAGGAGAAATACAACTCTACAGAAACATGCTGCCTCGGGTTTGTATCTTTCCAGAGAAGGATTCATACTGCAGCATGATAATACAACTTGAAAAGCTGAAAAACAAGCCAATACAGCAGTGCCAAAAACTTAATTTCCTCAAGTTGGTCTGCAAGCAAGTCAGTCCCAACAGACTTGTATGTTAAAATGCCCCAAATGAGCTATGATATCAATGTGATCACAGCATGGAAAAGAAAAGAAAAGAAACATTTAAAAAAAAAAAAAAAACAACAACACCCTTTTGCATTTTGTTATAACATCACTGCCTTGATTTGCACTGTAAACACCACCAGCTGTAGCTAGCCCCTTGCTAGGCCTTGCCTCTGCTACGCTAAATCAAACCAGTAACCTGGACCTTTTGTCCTCCAGTTTTGGTTAGTGAACTTTTAGTGTTTTACCTGTCAGCATTAGTAAGGACAGGCAGCAGCTAATATGTTAATTTTGTGAATAAAAATCCAGAGTGGCCTGCGACATCATGGTTGCTACATCCATTCCATCTGTTATTTACAATCTATAGAGGTAAAAACCCAAACGCGCCCAAAAGCTTTACAAGAATTATTTAACAACCAAAGATCAGGCAGTGCTAACTTTATCTGACTTGGCAGATAGTCGGCTGAACTCGACCACATTGGACAAAGCTCACAAAAAACTCCTTGGAACAACATGGATTAGAAGACTGTAGACTCCATGTTATCTCCAGCTCATACTTAAACATTTTAAATGCTACGATATCCTAATCCTCATGTATATTTCTCAGCATTAACATTGTCGGCCCAAACAGTTGAGCTGGCAGTAACAAGAAACTTTGCAATAAATTCGAAATAGAAAGTGCTTCATTTATGATCTTAGACTTTTCAGTTTTTATCTTTGGACTGATATTAAGGCAAATCTGAGATGCAAGGCGTCATTCGCCTCATGCACCTGTCCTTTTTATAGTTCATATTAACCACTTTAACTCAGCTCAGCAGTTTCATCATTCTGAATTATAGCTTTTTTGTAGATGAGGTGTATGACAAACTTGTAGCTCATGTGCTCATATATAGTTGCAAAGAC